TGTGGTGGAAGGTAAACAAGGCCATTAGTTAAATAGGCCTAGCGGTAATTATCAGGTGAAGGTCCCGGTAATGTGGTGGTGACTGGGTGGCACGGGAGGTCACTAGCACAATGCTGGGCCATGACTGGGAGGCACCCGGGGACGTCTCAACTGTGTCACTCTCGCCAAGTCACGTCTCGTGTTAAACCGAACTCCCTGAACCCCTCGTGGAGATAACGGCGCCACATTTCTAATAAAACCAGATTTTCAGGTCATGTAAGAAAAACTTATGGGGGTCTCGGGTAATTTTGTTTGGAATTTCAAGATGGGCAAGGTTTCTATTTTATTTATTCATTTTATGTTATTTTTTTAAATTTTAGATAAACATGTGTTGTCAGGTAATGTTAACAGAGTCAGGACATTTTTCAGCCCAATTCGCATGACTGACGAGTAGCACTTCCATTTTTCTGTTTTCAGTTTTGCAAGTACCATCTGGTGGGGAATAGTACAAGTTACCTTTGGGGGGGGGGGGGCTACTTTAAGCACACGGATATGATTTTCTTTCAAAGTGCAATAACCCAACGACGGCAGTTTTTACCAGACGGTGTTGTCTGAGATACAAACGTTTTTCTTACATAACACGACATTTTGTGCACCAGGACTTGAGATTCAAAGCGTCAACATCTCCCAAGTCTGGGTGAATTTTTGTGCAGTTTTCATCCGTGGATAATACTGCCATAAGAAATATAGATACAATAAAGTATTAAGTCTTTTAATACTTTATTGTAACCTAAGTCTACGTTACTTAGAAATACGGGCGTATTATCTACAAGGGTAGTGTTATGTGTTTCAGACGTGACGTTCAGGGAAGTGGGCGGGACCAGCTACCACCAGTAACCCGTTGTGGTATACTAACAAGTGACTTTCTATCTAGAACTGTCACCTGGTTAATAACAATACACTGTAAATGTAATAGTAACTCTCTCTTGGTTGATACTAGCGTGTGATCACTATCATCATCCCGGTTGTTTTACGACAGAGTGAGGGGAAGATGACGTGTGTGTCTGTCTGTGTGTCACAACAACAATACAATGAGCCATTACCCTCCTTCAACGCCGTCCTCAGTTCCGGTACCCTCCACGACGGCCCCACGATTCTGAAAAGGTTCCTCCGTCTGTTTTCTCCTCGTAATTAGATGATTTATGCGAGTGTCTCGTACTCTGACACGACTAAGATGGCGTCGATATCATCGTGTTGTCACTCCCTGGGCTGAAGGTATGAAACTATAACTGGTTAACTTATATTGCTTAGCTGAGGTTTCATATACAGTGACGTCGAAATTGCATCAAGACTACCTGTAAACCGTAGCTAGAAACGTGCCTAAGTATAAATGTAACTAAGTAGGTTTCGTCAGTTAAGTTAGCAATTATCTTAGGTCAGTTATCTTAAGAGTCGTACACTATGACGATCTTGGGAGAGGCGGAGATAGTCTTATTAGATCGTAAACTGGTCCTCTACGACCTGAAACACCCTCGTGCTGGTGGCTGCCTTGCCCTGTGGTTGTCCTCTGGCTCTCTTAAGCTTCACTATTAACAGGCATCACTATCATCAATATTAAGTCATCGCCAGCATCAATATTAACAAGTGGAGGCCGGTGGTAGTGACCCCATGGTTAATTCACTAGTCCTGCTTCTTAATAAACAAATGACTACACTGGTTCCTGCACACCCTGCTCGCTTTTGAAGAACTCTTTTCACTTGGTAGGTGAGGCAAGCTGGGACTGTTAAGCGCTGTCTATTTTTATTTTGTTGTGATATTTATTGATGTGGGTATTAGGTGCTATAGTACACATCACGTCAGTGATCTGGTACTGTCCTAGAGGAGTCTGCGAACATTACAATGGTGTCCGTGGTGTTCCTGCTGTGAGATATTAAAAGACGCGCCGCGCAGACTACTAATGGCATCCCACAGACCAGCCTAACGCAGTCTCCTCCTGCTGATACCGAGAGGTGGCCTCCACTTCTAACCGAGGTCATCCTCTCAGTACTTATTATGATCGTGTACCTCCTCAGACCGGTCACACTGCGCCAGGGTAGGTGTGCTATGCCAGGAATGTTGTATACTGCGCCAGGATAGTTGTTTCATGGCGGGGTGGTTATGACCTCACTGGATGGATAGATGCCTGCCATCACGTCCCACACAGCCATAATTAACTGAACTCGTGCTGTTCAGTAATACTCTTGCCGCATGAGGCTTGATCCTCCGCGTTTAATTTACTGTTTGACGATTGATTGGTTAAACTAAGACCCCTTAATCTCTTGTTTTTATCTTTGCCTCGCCTGTACCGTCTCTCCCCCCCCCCCCTCGTGTCCCCCTCTACCTGCCCCAATCACATTTGTGCTCTACTGAATTCTCTGAAAACATCGTACTTTAATGATGCAGCTGCCAAGATTAAGTTGGTTTAGGGATGGGGATTTTTTATTTCCGAACATTTTTCTTTACTTGAAACGAGTATTTGGTACAAAAAACATGCTACACATTATGCACGCTAACGTAATCCAAATCGTACCGTGCCTGGCCAAGGTTGAGGTCGTAACAGAGACCTTGGCTGCAGTAGTTTGAAGTCAGGTGTTGTTAATAGCTGCAGTGCTCGTGGGGGAATTAGGTAGTAGTGGTGGGAGGGTGGGCAGCTGTTCTAAGCCAGGCTGAAAATACTTTACTTCTTCCTGGTGTTCCAACTCGCGCCTAGTGGCCCCTGCAGTAGTAGGGGGACTAGACCGTGTCGTGGTGGTAAGAAGTGGGCAGCACACGTTATGCCCGTTAGTGTGTGCATGCTGCGTCAGGAATACGTTGAATCTTCAGGTTAACTGAAGCTTTTACACTGCCAGACACCTCAGTCATGTGTACAGTATATTCATTTTACTCTTGCAAGGATTTGTTTTATTATCTCCGTCGCTGATTCTGAAACAAAACACTGGACGGGCACTTGCCCGCGCCGAAGCTTGTTAATTTGAGTCTTTGTTTTACTTGTAAGCTACTGCCTTACATTTATTGCCGTAACAGTTGTGATTTTATTCCTTAATGTTCTCTGGTATTTCTATTAGTGTGTCGATGTAGAATATCCTTTCACTTGGGTTAATCTCCCTCTCCCTCTGTCCCTGTAATAAAACGTGTGGTTCAGCCGTGAACACGGAGCCAGTGCGAGTCCACCGTGACCTGTGTCGGGGGGATTATCCCTCTGCTAATATCAGGGCTTCAGTGACGCGTGAAGCAAACTGTAAAGTGCTGTACATACACTACACACATCTTTCCTGTGAGACCATCGAAATCAGCTTTCACTGGCGACCAATATATTTTCCCACAGTGCACCAGCACACAATACTCGCAAACACACACACACACACACATGTACGTACGTGCAGCAAGACAAGAATTACCATCAGAGTTAAGTGGCAGACAAAACTTCTTATGTGCATACTGTTGGTCGCAGTATGTCTGCATTTTGGTGGACAGGTTGTAGCAGCTGCCTCTGATGCAGCAATGCAGCGGAGTTGACCTGTAAGTCCAGGGGAAGCAGTTATTGTAGACTTGAAAGATTCGAAGTGCTGTAGATGCTATGATGAGGAATGTGAGGAGTGTAGTGCCTGGTTCCAAGCTTCCCGCCAGAATGTGACCTCACCTTCACCACCAACCCCCCTCTCCCGCTCTTGGCTCTGGCTTGGGCTTCACGTACCATCGATTTGTATGCTTTATTTTAATAGGTTGAAAGTTTGTGATGATAAGCTTGATTCGCAGATTTTTTCCATTGTATTTTACAAGTCAGTAAAAAACCTTCTACGTTAAGGGCACAAATAACTGCAGTTGGAAGCTTTATATTTAGTATTAGGAAAATAATAGTGTATTCTAACGGGAAAATATTATCAATTCTACTGATATACCCTTACTTAGTGGTGATGTACTTTACAAACCAAGGCTATCTAAGTTATTGTTGACTTAATTGGTATTAACCAGAGTTACTGTTGATAACATGTGTTCTGTTATAACAATAGTAAAGTTATAAGAGTAAATATGGTGAAGATTGAGATAGGGAGGGAATCGTGGCTGTGACAGGAATGTGTGTGTCGCCAGTTGTGTCCACGACCGCAACAGCTCTCCTTCAGTCTGCCCGACTGTAGTGTTGTTCATAATATCCGTTTCAGGCCCTTCAATTTACAATTTTCATTTTGTTTTCACTTTCGTAAATGTAAGCTAAGTTTATAAATAAATAACAGGCCTATGATTGACTACATTCACTACGACAACTTTGTCTTAAGCGCATTCAATTTTGTATTTTCAAAACTAAAATGGAAATGCTCTTTCGCGTAAAGAAATTCGAGATGCATTCTATTTGAAGACCCGTGGAGGATAAACAGTATCAAGCGGTTGATTAACTAAAACGACTCTTGTCTTTTTCATTGTGTCCCACCTTCCAAGGAGAGACCGACAGCATCATTATGCATTTATGTGGGTTGTTGCAACAGGAATACCAGTAATACAAGTGTAGTGCTCTTTCATCCTTCTCAGGGGAGGTTCAGAACCCCCCCCCCCTTTCTATGTGAATTTCTCGCTTCCCTGAAATGCCGCATGTTACTGTATATACAGTAATTACAATACAGACATTACATAGGTAACAGTCATACAATACATAGATATAAGAACATACGAAGCATTATCCCTGTTCTTAGTTTCTGTGAGTGGTTGCACACATGTTTATTGCAGCTATCTCTTATGGATGGATGATGCCTCCTCACCCAGAGCTATGGGGGGAGTAGTCCAAGACATTCCTATGCTGGGCTGCTTGGCTTTACCCTGGGCAGTCATTCATTGAAGAGCTGACCAGACCTTCAGTACTGAACCTTAACCCTTGTGCTATCAACAAAGTCATTCATGGCCAGAAAGGGATACGGGGACATGAGTATATCCATTTTCCACTTCCATATTTTTGTCGAGTGTATCCAATCCTCAGTGCATTTCATTTGCAGGATGAGCAAGTACCTGCGGCAGTCCTCAGTGTCCCGGGTATGTGCTGTAGGCGGCTTCTTCATCTCTGTGCCTGTATTTCTCACAGGTATGTAGCTCACCAACTGATGAACATCTATGATGCATAAGAAATAATGGTGTATTTTGTTCCAGACATTATATATGCTGTATTAGATCTATCTTGCACCTGAATAGTACTGTATGTATTTCAGCCAGGTGATAAACCAGTTACAGTTACAGTACTTCACCTGCATTTTTATTATATCTAAATACTGTACAAGGAATAGTGTTTCGCTTCAGGGATAGTTACATTATCTTTAAGAGAGAACCCCCCCCCCCAGGGCTAGATGCATGTCAATTTGGTCACATGCTTGACCGGAATTATCATGGCAACCTACTTCTTGTGCCCAGTGATCAAATGCAGTTTAGTAGAGCAACACGCTAACCAAAACAACACTGCCAAGTCTGTTTCATCAGTACACCTATGGCTCTCAAATTACTGTACATTTAAGATAATCAAATTACATACCTGTACTCTATTATTAATTGCTCACTACATTATTATTAACCCATCAGCTATATGCTTTTATGAAATTTCTTGTATCAGTTAGCTAATGTATTATTATAATTACTCGAATTAGCTACCTACTGTTATCAAATTACAGTACAGAATTAATATTTTCTATAGATATTTCTATCAGTGTTCTGATGAGCTACATTCAATAGTCCCACCACCATGTACCCTGAGGGCCCATAACTTTTCTGTTGAAATTCCCTTTTGCAGAATCTCTGCATACCAAAACTCATTTATTCAGACTAGCACTTTGTAGAAATCCCTGCCCCAGAATGCACAGTATGTATTTTCTTTGTCATATACCAGGTAGCGTCCATCCTGCTTCATATAATAGTAGGTTAAATTCTTTAGTTGGCTATATTTGAATGCCATCTTAAGAAACCATTGTGATATTGCATAAGAAAGTCACAGACAGCAAATAACTAATTCCAGAGGAACCAATTACAAATACTTAAAAAATTGTGACTTGATGTTTAGGTCAGGAGCCCTGAAAACAAATTATGAATACTGACAGAATTTGTTTTCAAGTGATTTTGAATGTATATAAGGACTTAAGCTATGATATACTGTACTGTAGTTGGATTTTAAACATTGTTCTGTAAGTACAGTATACACATACCATGTGTTTCGACTTGTGTACATTTTCGATTTAAGAACGTCCCCAGGAATGGAACTCGTTCGTAACCCGGGGACTGCCTGTACTGTAATTGGTAAATTTTTTTTTTTTTTTTTTTACTGTGTATAAACATTTGGATGGCAAGGAGAAAACTTAAGCAAAACAGAGATTATTGTCATACAAGGAAATGGGAGGAGAGATAGCACAGATCATTTTGGCTCTTTAAATTTGGGCAAAGTACATCTCAGTCCTGTTGATTCTGTTCATAATCTTAGAGTACAGTATACTTTTATCCAAAACAGAATTTTAAAGAGCATATAAATCCAGTTGCAATTTACATATTTGAAATCTGTACGATGTTGTACAGTTTTTGGATAGTGTGTCTTGTGACACTATTACATTCGCTTATTTTGCCTCGGGTTAACTATTGTAACACTCTATGGGTCTACTTGCCTAATTATCTACTGAAGAAAGTTGAGGCGGCGTTGAACAGGGTTGCCAGGCTTATTTTTGCTCTCCCACCGAGGACTCCCACTACCCTATTCTTGATCGGATGGATTACAGTGGCTGCCAATTAAAACTAGGATAGAGTTCAAACTCTGTCTAATGACTTTTAAGGCACTAATGTTTGGTGAGCATAAGTATTTGGCCAACCTACTAATTCCTCTAAAAGGATCTGGTTTAGGAGTTCATTAAAGAAACCACATATTTATTGAATCAAGAGTTAATGACTAGTTTTGACACTTTTTGATACTGTATTTTTATCATAATATTTTACATAACAGTAAATGGTGATTTTTTTGTTGTGTGTGCTATACAGTATACGGTATAAGACTTGCAAAAAACAGCTTGCTATTTATACTACAAATAATTCTTATAATTTCAGGTGTAATTCTCTACACATTCATCCATTTCCAATCAACACCAGCCATCCTGACCTCAGTATTCATTGGCGTGGGCATCATTTTCTGTGGGTGTGCCATGATTCACAATGTTTTTATCTGGCAGAAGGTGAGTGTTGCATGTCTTGGTGCATTTCTTGTTACAGTAAATTTTCTTTAGCAGTCGAAATAGTTTGCTCAATTGTATTTTTTTTTCCCTTGCATACAAGCCTTTTCTTCTGATGCAGGGTGTTCGTGCAGGTGTTGATTCTTAGCACTCACCAACAAGTGGGCTATCCCACCCCATTGGCAGGATGAAACATTCAACTGGGTTTGTGTGAGTGTATGGAAGCAAAACTTAGGAAGGAAAGAAAATGCCCAGTTTTTGAGAATCTCCAGTTTTCTAAGATCTGGTTTTGATGGTCTATAGATGTTTAAGTACAGTACTCCTCAACAAGTAGATTAAGGTTCTTAAGTCAAGACGACATAATTTGGGTGATTACAAGAGTACTTCTAATGGCTTGGTAAAATTTATTTTGTTTTGCTGCCTTAATGATTTTACTTCTGCAATTGTTTGATGTTGCTTTGTTCCCCCACCCCTTGATATTCTGGATGTACTGTACTTGTACTAGGGTAGTTAAATACGTTACTTTCAAATTCCAAGGGAATAGGTGTTGGGGGGGGGGGTCTCAATAGAGATACTTCTTGACACTGATTAAGGATCTTGGGTCAAAAGGGAATTTTGCAAGTTAACAGTTCTGATGACTGTAAGAAAAAATTCTGCAACCCTGATTACTCCACTTGTAATTTTCCATATTAATTTTCAGTGTTTTTCTGGATGTGATACAGTTTTTAAACGGTAACATTGTTCAAAATCTCAATACAGTATCCGTACCGTACTGTACTGCTTGACACACTGAATAAGGATCTGGGATAAAAATAGTTGGAATGTGCATCAGAATTCATTGTAGTCATTGTTAAAGAAAATGACCAGTTCCTTAACCTCCTCTGTGAGATACTTGGTTCTTTCAAAGAATTAATTCTGAAACCTTTTGAGCTCGTGCCAACAAGGAGGCACCCCGTTAATACTGTACACACTGTCCTACAAAACAAGATGTTGATGAACCACTCGCATGACGATTCTATTAATGGTCTTGATGGAATGATTATTAAGGTGCATCTCTTGTGGAAGATTTTTCAACTTATGCCATTCTTATGTGTTTGTACCCATTCAAGTTTTGTGTAAGAAGGTTTTCATTGAGCACAGAAAGAAAAGATGATTGGTATCTTTGCAATTTTACTGGTGCTCTCTGGACCACCTTAATAAGAAGACTACTGGACTGTACATCTATTTCAAAATTCCAGGAGTCCTATTGTACTAGTTGATCATAGACAAAGCAGGTAAAGTTATAATAGCTGCCAGAAAGCTTGCAGTATTAGCCATGAGACAATAACTGGTCTGCAAACAAACACATAAGCATTACCTTTATGCATAACTGAAGAAATAATGTAATACCCCACAAATCATAACGCTGATATTCCACAATAGACGATGAATTAGAAAAACGAGAGCACTGTATTGTATATTTTGACCATCACCCATAGTCCATTCCAACAGTGTGACAAGAACAGTTCCAGAGGGAGGTTTTGTAGCAATGTCCAATTAGCATCCATTGATGTGGTTATTAAGTCGGGGAACCATTCTTCTCTAAAGATGTTGGAATTCGTATGATTTTATTTATTTGTTTTTTTGTTTTTCAATGAAAGCACACTATATATTTTCTTCTAAAACTACAATTAGATTTGTACATTATGGACGAATCATTCCAGTTAATGGTAGGACCCAGCTCACTAACATGTTTAAATCCAGCTGAATTATCTTAGGCATACATCTGATATTTGCTGGTTCAGATAGGTAGATGTGTTTGATATGACAGATTGGGCCCTTTGATCATTTCTTCGATAAATTATATAGCTTAGTCCCCAGTATCACTTTTAATGTGGAGGATTAACTCCCTTTCCTTGATATTTCTGTTCGCAGAGATATTTGAAAATTAAGTTTTAATAGTACAGTATGTAGAAAATTCACCAGTTCTGGGAGTTACTTTTTTTTTTTACCACTTGGTGCAAGTGAAAAGAGGTGCTATTTCAAGATGTTTTCTGAGAGCCCTCAGGATTAGTAGCTCTCAAAATCTGGATAAGGAAATTTGCAGTCAAGCTTAATTAGGATACCCCAGTTAGTTTTCGATAAGGCGGACTGTGGCTAAAGCAATTTATTATGATAACACAGCTTCCCTCACTCATAAACTGTCACCAAAAAATAAAAAAGCTTTACAATCAACCCATATGCTCCTAGATAAATTAGTTATTCAAAGAACAAATCAATATAGTTTTGTTATGCCAAAAAAAAAAATTTAAAATTTTGTTAACCCTTAAAGCCCGGGTGACATTCCTTGACGTCCTTAATTAGTAAGGCATAGTTTGAATATCCAGGCGGGACGAAGTACTTTGCATAGGCTATTTATTTATTTAGCAACTTAACTCGCACGTAATCTTTGTTTCAAATCTAGTGGTCCAGTTACCTATCTCGTGACACACCTAGCTCCTCCACACCCTCGACAATAGTGTTTTTCATCAAGAGTTGCTTAATTTGAGTGGTGATGAAGACAATGATGGGGAAGATACAGACCTAGATGATATCAAGTTTTTTGAGGTGGCCAGCAGTGAGGAAATTAATACAGATAATGGAGATCACTTCCCATACCCACCCCGCCAGTCACCCCCTCAGCAAGGTTGTGGTGGACACAGGCATAAGGGTTAAGTTCACCAAACATTAAAAAGCAAGGCAAACCCTGGTATTTACACCATACCATGTAATGGAAGTGTATGTACGTTGGTGAGGCAGGGAGGGACTTATTTGCTAGGTTAACTGAATTTAAAAATGCCATATGATTTGGTCAAGATAATTCAGTCTGAATTAAACATGTTAGTGAGTTGATTGAAAAGCTCAAATTTCAACACCTCTAGTGGACATTGGTCCCCTTGACTTAATCACCATGGAGGCTGTTCAAAAAACCTTACTTGAGAGTTCAAGACATGACACTCGCTGTGGTCAGCCACCACATCATACCTGAAGTCACTTGACGCCCCTATAAAATCTGCCTCTATAATTGTTCTTGTCACACTGCTGGGGAGGACCATAGGTTACAGTCGAAATATACAATGCTTTTATTTTTTTGTGTATGTGTATCTTATATTTAAGCAAAACTCATGCTTTTATTTTTCTGTGTATGTGTGTCTTATATTTAAGTAAAACTCATGAATTATGTTGACAGAAATGCACTTGCATCTCTTTTGTATATGTAATATGATCTTGTGTTACTTTCAAACTAAGACAAAAATAATAGCATTTTTAATTGTCACTTTTCAGTTAAGTGCTCAGATTTGAACACATTTGATCCCACTTGTGATAATGACATTAAACTTGCCTTCTCTCCTTATATTTGTTCATGAAGTGCAAAATGGTGAGTAAAATCTCCTGTGTAAAGCAAGATATATTTCATATTATGACATTGACAGTTTGTTTTCATGGGGGTATGAATGATTTTATATATACAGTACTGTAATATATATGTATATATTAATGATAAGAAACTGCTAATATAATGTTTGAGAAAATCAATTTAAAATTTATTAAAAGTATTCTCTATTCTGCAGGAAAAATCAAAAGCAGTGGCACAGCAGAACATCCAGCAAGCAGTAAGCCAAGAGGGTCGACTTCGGGAGCTTAATGCATCACCTCTTCCTAATGCTACACTCGATCTCTCAGGCACCACACCACCACACGAGTTGTCAACGCTCGTCTAATAATGCTGTATGAATTTCTCTTTGTGGAATTCTGTTCACAAGGTACAAATAACTTTACTGATCAATCAAGCAAAAGAAGATGGCAACGTTATGGTTGTCATACAGTGAGTTTGTTTACTTAGTGCGCAGGTAAACATGGAAATAATCACAAAACTATATGAAGAGTAAAATCCAATAACAGTGTTCATATTATCCAAAGAAAGATTTCTCTTTCAATAGACATACAGGAGTGCTCAACAGTTTGTAGCCAGTGCAACTATATTATACTGTAGACATAAAGAAAGGCAATTATTGCATTATAACAAGATTCTCCAGTTGTTCACAGCATGATCTGTTGGCTCTCCACACTATGAAAAAGTGCCTTGGAAGCAGCTACACCGTCTCACTGTGACAGTATGTGAAAAGACTAAACAACTGTGTTGTGAACACTCCTTTGTAACAGATTTTTTTTCTCTGGAGAAAGGAAAAAACAAACTCAAAGTGGAGTGTTTCAATAAGCCTATGTGATGCTATGACATAGAATTACCACTTATAGCTCTGAGAGTGAGTTATCAACACCAAAGTTTTTGCATTTGTAACTGCCAGTTATTCATATCATTGTAGCTCTTTCATGAGGGAAGGAAAATGCCCAAAGTATGTACGAGTATTCATTGTTCTGATTGAGCAGCTGGTATCACAGATCTCACGTATTCCCATAGATTCACATTTGACCACCAAGGAAATAATGAAGGGACAATCTCCTGTACCAACTACCTGATTCTCCTGAGTTGTATTCAGGGGACAAAATCTGTCTAGAGAGTTCATTCCCAAAATCCTATACAATACTACAACTACTTGAGGAAATATTTTTGTGTCAATCTTGCCCAATGTTCACTTTTTTAATGTGTATAATGTATGTATGTGTGAATATGTACATACTTTTATGTATTTAATGAAAAAGATGGAGAGTAACACAAAAATATGGAAGATTATATTTTGTATAAGCATGTTTGGAGAAAATTGCTTTAGTGCTATTGTCTTTCCTGAATTTTTCTCAGATTCAGCAAAAGGAGGAAACTTCTGTATTACATTACATATTTATTCAAAATTTTAATATCATTGTATATACACACTGGCCAGTACACTCAAAATTGGCCTTTGCCAAATAATACTTATTTAGAAACTTGTGTATTAGTATGTACAGTGTAATTTTTTTCTTCACAAGACAAGTTTGTGGACAGTACAGATACCAGTACCTCTTCTTGTGCAGCATCAGGTTCATATTATATGTTTTGTCAATCTTTCTACCTTATGCAGCACCTCAGAACTCTCTTAGTACCTGATGATGAGGAAAATGCTCACTGCAAAAGTATATTCTACTATATTTGGTATTCTTCAGGCATTAAATTGAAGTACAAACTTAAATATCTTAAATCCCCCTAATGACTTTCCAGAGAGGAATAAATCCTTCCCTTCTTTATAAATGTATCATTTGTATGAAGACTTTAGCATTTATTGTTAGTTTTATATGAATACTGTATATAATTTTATATGCATATTTATGAAAATGTAAATATTTATTCCAGTTCTTCGTTTTTATGTCATCCTTAATCACTATAAAACCCCATAACGCTGCAACTGATAAATTGGTATGGCACCAGATAACCTTCACATCTTACAGTAGTCACCAGGAGCAGAGTCACATGCAATAACTTGACAGGCTGTGACAGCCCCATGTGTGTTTTGAAATATAGTTATTTTGTTAAAATAGATAGACTTTTGAACCATCCTGTGTAATGAAATAAAAACAGTTGTATTAGTTACATACCAGCAGCAAGGGGCAATTTCTTGATGGGGATATAAGAGGCAGGCAAACTACTGTTTATACTGTATAACACTTCACTGGCACTGTACAGAACAGTAATTTGTTCAGAGGAACTTAACACTTAACCAATTAATTCATAAACCCATTTTTTTTACTGTCTAGCAGACGACATACTGTTAAAAGGCAGGACCCTTTCAAAACATGATCTAACGGCTTCAGGCCCCTGTAGTTCCTACATTCAAGTGCAACAGCTTTACCCTTATTCATGAGCACCCTCGTCCACCAGTCAGATGGAACAGTAAAATCTATCGTGATTGCACTAATCAAATAATTCCACCAATGCATCCAAACTCCATTTTGGATGATGCATCAGCTTGCAAAAGATGAGATTTTCCTAACTGGCCATTAACTTAATGGGTTATCATAAGCTGTTAAATGGTGATGAGGACTACTGTACTGTATTATAGTTCCCAAATCTAAATACTGTACTGAAATAATAATTGCCAGAGTTGTGACTTCCATCTTGCTTTGCAGTAGTGATATCTCCGTTAGCCGGAATCCCTCAAACCCCGATCTCTACGATAGCCATAATTGAAATGTTCTCGGAAAATCGTTCCCAACGCCAGAATTTTTCGTAAAATTCCCGCATTCGGAACGATTTTCCGGAAAATTCTCCAGATATCCGGAAAATTACGGGGTTGGAGTTTTTTCTGGGTTTGAGAGATGAAAATCAGGCGCATTTCCAAGAAATAACAAGAAACATTTTCCATTACCCGGAAAATTCCGGGGATGGGGAATATTTTTCTGGGTTTGAGAGATGATGTAATGGGCAATTTCTGTAACTTCCGACAACATTTTTCAATTACCCAGAAAATTCCAGGGATGAGGGATTTTTTCAGGCCTTGAGAGAGTCGTCTCGTTACCTGTAAATCTCTCATTCCCGGAAGTACTCTGCACCAATTGTTCCGGCTAACAAAGATATCACTGTAGTAGTGGTTTCTGGTTTGTGACATTTATGTCCCCTACTGCAGAAACGTAAGCACACTGGTCATACCTGGATAATAAGACATGGAATACAAATTACTGAACCCATCAAACAGTATCTACATACCAGGTCTGTTGGAAATCTTCTTTGTGAGAGTTACTGCATCAACAAAGCTGGATGTACATGCACGCACTGTAGCACACCATTTCTACATCACCCTTACAGCTGATTGGTGAAGGACAATATTGCTTCATACTCTGCATACCCTAATTAGTGATATGCAAAGTTAAATACCTGTTATTACTAAGAGGAAAATAAACATATCCTTTTCATGAGATATTTACCAAATAAACTGTACAAGAAATCTTATATACAAATACAACTAGTGGAATGGAATTCAAGGAAATGAAAATTAACAATTGACTTCAACAAATATAACAATAGATGCAGAACCCATCTGTTACATTTCCTTGGAATGATTAAGGGTGGCCACAGGTCAATTCATGGATCACATACTGTACTGTACTAGAAATGTTGGAGACTATAATTAACCAAAAATTATGGAGAAAATATTCATACTGATCATTTGTGCTTTATACAATAGCTGGAAAAAGTTTTAAACTCTTTCCTTGCAGCATGGCAGATATCAGAAATACAAGTGTGATGGCAATAGTACTGTACATGCTACATGGAATTACTAGACAGAAGCAAGGAAGGGCCTGATAGATAAATTTAAACTGTGTACAGTACTTCATTATTTTTCTTTTGCCATAGCTCTAATTTTTGTGTGTATTTGTTCTTCTTTGAATGCCTGATACACATATGAAAATATGACAACTTGAACAACAATCACAGCAGATATTGCTCCATAAATATTATTCTTTGGTAGTCCAACACCAAACTCCTTTTCCAAAAAATCTTTGCTTAAATAAAAGGCAATGATTGGGAGTGTAAACATAGCAATACTATGAAAAAAGAGCTTAAGTAAAACATTGCCTGTGCTTGGGGGTTTGAGGACCTTGTGACTTGAGGGCACTGAAGAAGGAGAGTTTTCTCTCAATGTTGATGTCTCGGAAACCTTCAACTCGCCTGCCATCTTCACTTCAAATTCGATTTTTACTGATGACTGGTCAAGATATAATCTGAAAAGATTAATTTATTATTAGAATATGATACATATCAAAATGTAACATTCATAAAACTAGCAATACAGCAAACACAGAAAAGTTTTATTACAAAACCCTACATACTGATGATAATCTAGATACTGTACCTGTACTACTGTTTGTACTACAGTATAACATTCTTTGAACCTCAAGCAGTAATGTATTTATGTGAACATTCTTTTGTGGCTTAAACATTTTCCTACACAATGACTTGGTTGCCTACCTCCCTGAAGCAGCTAGACTCAGTGGAGACTTTCAAAAAGTTACCTGTTACCGCTTCCAATGCCATGCGATGCAAAGGGCCTCCACATACTCGCGCCAGCCATTTCGATCTAGAGCCCTTTCCATAGTTGTATTTAACTCGTCCTCCGTCTCCCTTCTTACAGTTCGTATCCAAGTAGGCCTTGGTTTTCCTCCTCTTCTTGTTCCGTCCACTCTCAATACTCTATCCGGATGCACACGCAGAGCGTGCCCCAGCCACCTCCATCTATTCTTCATCAGCCATTCATCGATAAAGAGAACAATTGTGACTTCTCTTATCGTCTCATTTCTAATACGATCACGTCATCTTATGTTCAAGATTCTTCTCAATGCCTTATTCTTGAAAGTTTGGAATCTTCTGGATAAAGTAGTGTCATCATAATACCAAGATTCACTGCTGTATACCAAAACGGGCCTTATCAGTGAAGTATATTATCTCAGTTTGGTATGGACTGTTAGTCTATGTGACTTCCACACTTTGCCCAGTATCCCCATAACTTGATGACCTCTTCTTATTCTGTCCTGAAACTCATCTTCAAGTGATCCATCATTTTTGACGAGTGTCCCCAAATACTTGAAAAAAGGAACTTCTTCCATAATTTGGTCCTCCACCTGAATGTTCCCTTCAATTTCTTGGTCTGTTTTCATAACCTCTGTTTTTTTAACATTAATCGTAGTTTGCAAATCCTGAATGGGTCTGCTCATTAGTACCACATCGTCTGAATAATCCAAGTCTGCTAGGTACATGTATTTATTGTCGACCCATTCGATCCGTTCTCTTTTATCACCCACTATCTCTTTCAATACGAAATCAACAAGTACAGCAACCAGCAATGGAGACAAAACATTACCTTACAACACCCCACTCTCGACAAAGAATTCTGGGGAAACTTGGCCATCAATGTTCACACAATATCTGCGGCCTCTATGAATTTCTTCTATCAAACGAACGTATTTTTCTGGCGTTCCATAGTTCCGTAAGATTTTTCACATACCGGTAGTTGGTCTATGCACGCTATCGTAGGCTTTCTCAAAATCAACAAATGCCATTATCAACGGTTTTCTGAATTCCACACCCTGCTGTATTATTTGACGTAATGGCAATACTGTAGTTTAACGGAGCTTTGGGCGACAATTAGTTGCATAACAAAATAGCGTGCAAAGGTAGTGAGAGATAGCATCATTGTACTTATAAATCAAATCTACAAGTATATGTACAGCTTTGTTGGGAAGTACTGGAGTAAAATTTTTCAGAATTTTTGTATTCTTGGATTAAATATAATGCAGGAAAATAGTGACTTGGACTGCTTACAGAAAAAGATCAAGTACAGTACACATTGAACAATAACAAACATATACCGTATACAAAAATTTAAAAAGCAAGGCATGTAAGCAGAGAATCGTTAATTGTTGGTTAACACAAAATGTGGAAACGGCATCTAATGACGGAGAACAAAGTTTCTGGATAATATACTGGACAAGAATGTTTTGTCACTCAGTGAGTGGGTAGAAGAGTTCACAAGGTTAAAAGGTGATACAAATTATTTGAGATTTAGGGTTTGCCACAGAAAAACTATAAGCACAAATATGGAAATACTGTACAGGGGGTCCCCTGGGTTAAAAACAGGTTCCGTTCCTGAGGACGTTCTAAAGTCGGATTTGTATGTAAGTCAGAACACATGCTATGTGCATACCTTACTTACAGAACAATGTTTAAAATCCCACTATATCATAGCTTACGTCCTTAAACTGTATACAGTACAGTACACCTAAAATCACTTAATTTAAGACAAAAGAAATAGATTGACAAAATACAGTTAATGAAAGTAAAAAAATAAGTCATCAGGTAAATAAAATACTGTACAGTACAGTATACCTGTACTGTGAATTTCAAGTTTAACCCCATTCATATCGGCAAGCGTTCGTAAGTTGGGGAACCTCCTGTAATGAAAAGCTTTGGAAAATGCTATCATTGTCCCATGGGCTTGGTAAGAAAACAATTATTATAAGAGACATGAAGCATGTAGGTAAGTTGCAATACATATACAGTATACTTGTACCTGTAGTACTGTACTGACTGGAGGAAAAGCATGTGGAAGAAGCATGGAATACAGTAAACCCTTGAGAACTTGGAATAGCAGTGAAATATTCAACTGTAAATTACTAAGTTATTTTTTACAAAACTCGTAACATTCCGAGGTATGATGAGGCAATCTCGGAATAATGTGACCCACGCAGGATGCATGGGAGGCTCTGACTGATCATCTCCCCAGGTAAATGTCAGTAGGCTTAGTGAGGATACCTACCTGCAGTTGCTCTAGTTACTTTCATGTATCTTGTGCAAAGTG